CAGGAGTTTGGCCATCTGGCTCTGAAACTGTTTTCAGAAGCCAATGATGCTGGCAGTGGAATGGAGGAGGCTGTCATTCTCAGCTTACTCGGGCAGCTTACAGTGTTAGCTTCAGCAGTCTAGGGGCACAGGGTCCAGATGAACAGAAACAATAGGCACACAGCTTTATACAAGAGTGACCAAACCCTTGTGCACTAATGATTCCCACTCACTTTTAGAAAAGTTTGTATTCCTGAATGACTATTTCTACTGGTGATTCTGTACGTCCTCTGCACTGCTAGGCTAGCTTGCCCTCTTGGTCCTCTTGACCTCTTGATCCTCTTGACTACGGTCATGTAGTTGTGGAAGTTTATGCAATACCAGCACGGTTTGTGAACCCGGCACAAGCCAGGCCACATACTATTCGGATTGAACACAAGCCAGGTAGCTAAGGAGATACTGCTTGAGGAACAAGGAAGAGGAATCTACTTTGAGTGGGCAAAAACAGGCCATTGTGGAGCTGCAGTGGGCTGCAGTGTAGCATTTATTTCTTCTTCCTTCAACTTGTCTAAATCTCGCTTTGGAAAGGAAAGTTTTCAAACTTCACATTTTTTCCCTTGTAGCATAACTTGAATGGAAATAAGTCAGTGTTGTTTTAGGCCAGATTCCAAGTTTTTCCACCTTCTGAGTTATGTAAACTGATCAAGTTGGGAAGCCAAGGGTTTTAGCCTGTATTTAACCTTTTGCAGTTTGTCATCTTTTGAGTAACATTCTGTCTTCCTTTAAAAAAAAAAAAAAAAAAAATCAGGTCCTGGCTTATAGTGCTCACACTATTTGGTGATTTATGAATCTTATATTTTAATATTTTACTTGATTGTGGTTTTCATACCCAGGAAGGATTTTTTTGTAAAAACATGGAAACTGCATTGTGTGATAGCAAGGGTGGGCTTTGTGTTTTGTTTTGTTCTGTTTTGACAGATGGAGTTCATCTATCTTTGCTTTTAAAAGCTTAGCACACTCTCAGTTTACACTTTTATAAACACTTGTCTCTTCTGCATTGTATTGAAGATGAACTATAAAGTTAGTCTTTGCTTTCAAAGCATTTATAGTTTGAGGGACTGTACAGAAAGAAGTCATTAGGAATATATAGGCCACAGGACAAAGCTTCAGCAGCCACATAAATAACATAAACATCTTGTTCAAGATCACATAAGTACACACTGTACTATGAGCAGGCAGAGGTGATGGGATGGGGGAAATGCTTTTTTAGTTCAGAGAAGTCATAACTCCTCCTGATGAGAACTTTTTTTGAGGAAAAAATAGACTTTAGGAACTGAAATGGAAGATGGAAATTTGGCAGACTGAGGCAGAGAGGATGTTTTAGAAGAGGGTATGGCTTGGGTTGGGACTTGCTGACAGTAGTTAGATAGGGCTAAGGCTATGAGCAGGTGAGACCAAGAGAGGATATGTTAATTGAAGAGTTAGGAATGGGAAGCCAGCTGGGAGGGTCTGGTGAAATTTTTTGAAAACTGAGACCAAAGACCTGGGTTGTCTTTCAAAAGAGAATGGCCCCATTTTAGTCTTGAGAAGAGTGGCACAGAAAAAACTCATTTGAAACAGCATTAAGAACTGATCAGAGGAATGTTAAAGTCCAGGGAGGAGAAGAAATGAGACTATCAAAGCTCAGGCAGTATATGCACAAGGCCAGACTAAAGCTTCTATAGGAGAGCATCACCTGGATTGAAACAGAGTTCCCTGGTTGTTTGCTGACTGAGGGATTGTAACAGGCAGTGGGGCATAAGCTAGGTTTGTGGACTCAGACTTGGGCACCAGCATTTACTAGCTATATGACATTGAGCAAGTAATTTAACCTTTAAGCCTCAGATAAGTAAACTGAGGTAAGTAATTTAACCTTTAAGCCTCAGATAAGTAAACTACTACTACTCTTTGGATTGTTAAGAGGATTATGTGAGGCAGTGCGTGTAAGCACCAATACAATACTTAGGCTTATTAGGTGTTAAATAATCTTAGGATTCTTGCCTGTGGTTTAAATGTAATGCTCAATAATAATAAAATTACCCAACTAGTTTGACCAGTTCTCTCTCACACCCCAGTCTGGTCTCAGTTTCCTTGGTCAGGTGCTTGTTTGAACTGACTGTGACTAGAACTGACAGATTGGCAGACTTCACAAGGACCTCTTTATATAGGGAATGTGTGATTATGTAAACAGCAGATTTTAAGTCCAAATGCCCCAGGTCACTGCCCTGGACTGCAAGACTTTACTAAGAACACAGGAAGTAGATTACCAATTTTGAACTCTGAGGTGGTTCTACTCTGCCAGCTTATTTTCTTGTCCATTCCCAACTATTCCCACCCCTGCCGCCAAGCAACAAACCCACAAAGAAAGTTACTAGTGTCACAGAAAACACAAAACAGGCTAGAATCAAGTCTCAGCCCCACACAGTAAATATTGTTAAAGAAATATGTTTAGTTCTGAATCTTAAGGGGAATGTTTAGGAATTCTTGCCCTTAGGCAGTATCTATCTGCAGAGCTACCTCTACATCTGAACTTGGGTTAGTTGTTTGCCTTGGAATGTCTCCTCCGTGTTTTCAGTGTTTTCACCTGTCATACCATTAAGGTCTGGCCCCTGTGCCACCACCTACAGAAAACCTTTCCTGATTTCTCTATTCATGTCTTCTCTGAAAGTGATCTTCTTTCTGTGAAGTCCAACTTTTAAAAATATGTTTACAAAAATACTTCTTAGGATCCTTAATGCATTGTTCCTAAGTTAGAGTTCTCTGTGTATTTATGCTATACTATCTTCTAGTGCTAGTATATAAACTCCTTAAGAACAAGAATTTGCTCCTGATAGTATTCGCCTGCAGTGCGTAGATTACATAAGTGTTGAGTAAATCTTGGAGATCAGGTATCCTCATTCGAGAGGAAAATGAATAAGAGATCCAGTTCAGAGACCTACAGTGAATGCTCTCCGCTGCAGGCAGGGATTGATGAGCTGCTTCAACTCTTCCCACCCACCACTCTCAATCCTATAATGAACTCTGCTCACTGTTCTCCAAGTGAGCCGACCCTTTGGCCTTTCCATGCCTTGGCCTGTGCACCTTCCTGAACTTGGAATGCCCTTACTTTCTGGAAAAGTAATCGGTTGCCGGCTCAGATATGGCCTTTGCTCTTTGATGTTCCCTGATATTTGGACAAATCTGCTCCCTTTTTTCCTCCCCAGTGTCCTGTAGGACATACCTCCAACATAACACTTTTAATGTTGCTTATTAGTTATTTACAGTCTGACTTTTTCTGGGTGAGGGTTCTTCTTTGGCTTGTTCATCTTTGCAACCTCAGTACTTAGCATCAAACCTGGCACCTCCTAAATGTTTTTGGTACCCTTGAATTGAATCCAAAAAAAGTCTCCTGAGGCAAACCAGGTAAGTCCTCTGACCTGAAAGCCAAGGTCAGAGAGAATGTTCAGGACAGACTGCCTGTGCCAAAAAAAGTCTGAACTCAGGCAGCTCTGGCTAGAGCAGTGCCCTCTAGGTTTCTCTAGGAAGGTCACTGGTAATAGGAAGCCTGATTTTGTGAGAGGAGAGAGTTGCCTCTCTGTCCAGGTCATGGACCTTTCCTTCTAGGGTTGGTCTCAATCTGAAACCAGCCATTCCTTGGTCTGCCATTTTATGAATGCTACAGTGGTTCTGGGCACAGCAACACAAGCTGATTTTTTTTTTTTCCATTTGTAGTTGGTACTTGAAACAAATACATCACTAATAGTATTAGTTGATTTTAAGAACTGATGATTCTTTAAAAAAAAAAAAAAACTATACACCTCTTTTTAGAATGGGAGACCTTGTACTTTTTTTTCCACAAATTTTTATTTTGAAAAACGTCAAACCTACAATAAAAAGCTCTAAAATATTACAGTGAACACCTATGTAGCTTTCTTCTAGATTCACCAATTGTTAGCATTTTGCCACATTTGTGCATGCATGTTCGCTCGTGCTCTCTTTCTCTTTCTCTCTCTCCCTCTCTCTCTATATATATAAAAGATTGTGAGGCAGTGCATGTAAGCACCAATATAATACTTAGGCTTATTAGGTGTTAAGTAATCTTAGCATTCTTGCCTGTTATTTAAATGTAATGCTCAATAATAATAAAATTACCCAACTAGTTTGACCAGTTCTCTCCCACACCCCAGTCTGGTCTCAGTTTCCTTGGTCAGGTGCTTGTTTGAACTGAGCCATTCCCAATAGCCATTTAAGAGTAGGTTGTAGGCCGGACGTGGTGGCTCACACCTGTAATCCCAGCACTTTGGGAGGCCGAGGCGGGTGGATCACGAGGTCAAGAGATTAAGAACATCCTGGCCAACATGGTGAAACCTTGTCTCTACTAAAAATACAAAAAATTAGCTGGGTGTGGTGGCACGCACCTGTAGTCCCAGCTACTGGGGAGGCTGAGGCAGGAGAATCGCTTGAACCCTGGAGGTGGAGGTTGCGGTGAGCCAAGATTGTGCCACTGCACTCCAGCCTGGGTGACAGCGCGTGAGACTCCATCTAAAAAAAAAAAAGAGTAAGTTGTAGGCCGGGCACAGTGGCTCACGCCTGTAATCCCAGCACTTTGGGAGGCTGAGGCAGGTGGATCACCTGAGGTCAGGAGTTTGAGACCAGTCTGGCCAACATGGTGAAACATACTAATCATTGAACATACTAAAGGTTATTTCTTTTTCTTGCATATCCAGAAAACCCTCTTAATTTTATGCTTTCTTATCCAAGTCATGTACCATTTTTTTCTGAAACTAAATTAAAATACTCAAAAAAAAAAAAAAAAAAAAAACTACATGCAAGTTGCTGTATCTCTTTGAGTGGATCTTGGATTTGAAAAAAAAAACAAATTGCCAGGCCGGGCACAGTGGCTCATGCCTGTAATCCCAGCACTTTGGGAGGCCAAGATGGGCAGATCACTAGGTCAGGAGATCAAGACCATCCTGGCTAACACGGTGAAACCCCGTCTCTACTAAAAATACAAAAAATTAGCTGGATTTTTTGTAATTTTCTGGATCTTCCTCTTGTGTCAAAAGCTATATATATATTTCCTCCTCAAAGCAGCCGCTCCAAGAACTAACTAGCCCTCTTTATCTCCCTCTAGCTGGGATAGACTAATTCCCCTCCACCCTCATCTCTCTTCTTTCAATAACACTGCATAGGTGTTAATGGCCTGGGCTCTCACCAATGAACAGAACTGTCCTTTAAGCCAGTAGCCCACAGGCAGTGGGACCCAAAGCCTCATCCCCAGTCCCCAGGGCAGAAGCCACAGAGCTGGTATTGTTTCCACTGTTTCAGGAAGAAGGAGCCAAAAGCTGACCCTCAGCACAAATCAAAGTCCAATATGGAAAGAGAATTAACTGCTTCTAGTCCCAGGAGTAGGCAAGCTGTGGGCAAAAAAGTTTTTGCAGCCACCCCATCTTTAGAAACAAGGAGAAAACTAGACCCTTTTCCACTATTGTAGTCTACAAGGTACTCTACTGCTCCAAGGGAATCTGAAAGCGCAAAGGATCTAAACAAATAAGGAGAACTTTTCCCAGGCTGGAGATAAGAGTGACAAACAGAAAGATGGGTGAATGTAATAATGCGTAGGAAGATGATGCTGGGAACCTCCATTCTTCATATGGGTGCCAGCCCTACAGAGGACAATACAGTAAGAACCAGGACAACCACTCCAGACTGGTATAGCTGGGGAATCTTCAGGCCTTTTCCTAGGTCCCACATCAAGTTTCAGACCCCATTCCAGGTATGATACATGAGAGGGAAGACGAGTGCAAACTTAGCTGTGTGGATCAGTGCTGGCCCCAGACACAGGGACTTCACGAGCTCCAAATAAAACTCAAAGTTCCCAGGGAGTAACAGGGCCGACATGCCAAAAAGCGAGGCTCCTGCACTCAAAGTAGTACCAGTGCTATGGTGGCAGATGGCCATCGCCATGGGAAGAGACCAACTGTAGATAGTGACGTGGGGAGATACGGGACGGTTTAAACCTGTGTTCTTATTCCAGAACCGCTCCGTCTCTTCTTTGGCCGTGGTTCCCAAAGGAACAGCATTTCTGATACAGAACTGAAGGCTAAAGTGGGCTCGGAGGCAATGTCGACCAACATGTCTCAGCAAGAGTGCAGCCATCTTGGGTTCCACATTTAGTTGTTATATCTCTTTAATCTCCTTTAATTTAGACAGTTTCCTAGGCTTTTTGTCTTTTATATCATTGGAAGAGTCCATGCCCATTGTTTTATAGAATATCCTTTAATATAGTTTTTATGGGCTTTGGAGCAATTATATGTACATAGGCCTTAAATTATAGGACTAAAGCACAGGGTGACCACTTACTGCTATTAAAACAATGTCAGACCGGGCACAGTGGCTCACACCTGTAATCCCAACACTTTGGGAGGCCAGGGCTAGTGGATCACCTTAGGTCAGGAGTTCGACACCAGCCTGACCAACATGGTGAAACCCCATCTCTACTAAAAATGCAAAATTTAGCCGGGCGTGGTGGTGCACGCCTATAACCCCAGCTACTTGGGAGGCTGAGGCAGGAGAGTCACCTGAACCCAGGAGGCAGAGGTTGCAGTGAGGCGAGATCGCGCCATTGCACTCCAGCCTGGGCAACAAGAGCAAAACTCCGTCTCGAAACAAAAAAAACTGTCAAATGGTCACTGTCACAAGGACATTTTAAAGGCAAGTTCTTTATTAGGGATATTGAAAAGTTTATCTTGCCATTTTTAGATGAGATGGCATAAATTAATGGGCTCTGGAAACTGATCTGGTTTAATTCCAGATTTCATTCCCAGGTTTTAATCTGAGGATTCCCTTAACCTGTCCGAGCTTCATTTTCCTCATCTGTAAAATGGTAATAATAACAACTGTATTTACCTCATAGAGTTACTGTGAAGATAAAATGAGCTAACATATAAAATATTTATTAACAAAGTGCCTAGAACATTGTGAGCATTTAGTACCTGATAGCTGTGGTAGTAGAGCTGTTGATAATTTGTACTAGGGATCAAGTATTAAAAAATTGTAACATGAAAAATTAGGTATTTAAGAGATCAGGAACCTTTGTTTTTGAAAGGTAGCCAAGAATGTTTTAGAGGTTGTTATACTTAATGTGTTCTCAGGTATTAAAAGAAAAAAATCGGCCAGGCGTGGTGGCTTATGCTTGTAATCCCAGCACTTTGGGAGACCGAGGCGGGTGAATCATGAGGTCAGGAGTTCCACACCAGCCTGGCCAAGATGGTGAAACCCTGTCTCTACTAAAAATACAAAAATTAGCCAGGTATGGTGGTAGGCACCTGTAATCCCAGCTACTCGGGAGGCTGAGGCAGAGAATTGCTTGAACCTGGGAGGCGGAGGTTGCAGTGAGCCGAGATCGCACCACTGCACTCCAGCCTGGGTGACAGAGTGAGACCCTGTCTCAAATAAACGAAAAGAAAAAAAACATTTTAATTAAATTTACACTTCACACACCTGGTCAATGAAATGGAATTATCCTAATTAAGTTCCTCCCCAAACCTTGGTGTTTCTTTTTCTCCCAGAAAATTGCATTCGTCAATTTAGGATTGTTGAAAAAAAATCCCTCAGTGTTCTACCCTTCTTCCCCAACCTGTCTGGCATCAGTGGGAAAGCAAGGAATTTTCGGCCATCCATTCTACCTGTAACCCAGGGTTGTGTTGGTGACGGTGACTAGGAACTGCTCCTGTTCCCTCCAGACCCATCTGCCTTCATAGACTGGCTTGGAGCTGAGGGCCTCTCATAGCTCACCACATCACTGAAGCCCCCACATACTCCTCAGGTTACCATTTCTGAAACTGGAAGAGTTTTATAATCATATTATCTGTTACTGGGTCAGAGGGCAAGAGAGAACAGAGGAAGTTGATAATTTTTTGGCCAGGTTTTTTTTTTTTTTAATACCTTTCAAACTAATAGAGAAGCTCTATTTATAGGCATAATTGGCTTTTACTTTAAAAATGTATTAAAATCAGAAAATAATACTACATCTGACATTCTCATGGGGGAAATGGCTAATCATGTATGAAAGCAGATATTCAGTCATCCACTGTTTGTTTGCAGTAATATTCAGCCTGTCATTCAAGTAACTTTAGGGCTTTTCTTCAGTATCTAGGTTACTTCTCTTTATTCACCAAATGCTTGCCAATGCAAAATAGAAAGTGCATATTATTAATTTGAATTCTAATATTTATAATGAGACCATATGCGAAAACTTTAATTTTATCTATTACAGAAATAATTGAAAATGCAGTAAAAGAAAAATCATTGCTCACATAACTCCCTAGTTTATGAAATACGTTTGTATACGTTATCTTACAACCTACATCTCTGTACGGTAATTGGGACAAATATTTGGTTTCTTCATTTGACAGAGAAGAGAGCCAAGATTCAGAAATGTTAATATTCAAGTTCATGGTTCTACCACTTACTGGGTGATCTTGAAGAAATCCCTTAATCACTCTGTGTAATTTCCTTAAATATGAAGCAGAATTCAAAATAGGGCCTACTGCATAGGGTGTGTGTGAAGATGAAATGAGTTAACTTAGAACAGTATCTGGTACACAGTAAATCTCAACAAGTGTTAGCTATTAGCTGTTATTATCACACAGCTGGTAAATGTTAGGACTTGTACCCAAATCTAGACCTTCTGTCTCCTAGTCCAGAACGCTTTTCATAGTACCATGTGCAGTTTACCTTTTAGTAAATCATTTAATGAATTTCTGCCTCACATTGATCTTGTTATTCTTGAAGGGATCTTTTTCTACTTTGTTTACTTTGACTTTAAATTTCTCAAGATCAAAAGGGAAATGTGTTTGAAAGATTCTTCCTGATTTTTAAAAATCCTCTGATTTCTGTTGTCATCTGGGTTTGCTTGAACTTGAAGTATCAGAAGGTGTTTTAGCAGGTGAAGATATCATAAAGTTGTTTTCAAGAGTGATTTTGGGTGTTTCTGGTGAATTTTGTTTTGGTTGGAAGGCCTAAAGTGGGAAGTAGAGTTGAAAGAAATTGTTGGACTACAGCCCAGATTTTGGGGGTTGGGGGGAGTTCAGCCATATCTCTTATCTGCAGTGCTGAGAGAATATTGCCGTTGCAGAGAATGGCAGCTTGGTGACCTCAGAGTAAAGATAATTGTTTTGACACAGGATTATTTATAGTAAAAGAGCCATCCTGAAGAAGTTGGTAAACTGTTATGGACCATTTCCTGGGAAAGGAAAAATTGTAGATATTTCTTTTGGTAATAGTATTTGTAGCAGGCTTTTACTTGTGACTCCCAGTTGTTTTTACTCTATCTACTGCCAGTGTAGATATTTTATGGCTGTGAGATGGGCCTAAGTGAAAATCTGCATGCTTTTGTGGGAGCTACTCAGCTGCTATAGGGAGACAACCGCCCTTTCTTTGGATGCCCAAGGTCAATGCAAAACTGGATTTGATGTGGAAGATTGCAGAGGGTGGGCAGTGACGTGCAGGAAAGATGGAGTCAGCCTGGAGGCCTTCTTGAGGCAAGGAATAAGAGAAAGCCCCAACTCACTGGGCATGCCCTATCACCAGGCCTTTTTGATGTGTGCATAATACAGTATATACATAGATGGGTACTCTGACTGCAGGATATTCAATATGCTTACAATCTTTGTAGATATCTGTACCAGTATTTAACCTGGTAAGACAGGAGGTTTTAAAGAACCTGCTGAGACCTCCTCTTTGTGATATTTGGACTATTTAACCCTCTTATTTCTAATATTATCTTTAGCAAGTAGAATTAATGTTCTCATATTAAGTGAAAATACTGAATTTTTAAGATTCCCTGGCACCTGATGATAGTTCAATACTGTTTGCAAAAGAGGATATGAAGAAATGATGTATTTATTATCTTTTCTAGTTTTGCAATCAGGTTTTATTTTTCGTGACTAGCCACCAACAGAATCTTCTGACCTATGCAGCATGAGACTAAAGCCCAGAAAACAGCTCTGGGTCCTAAAACCTTGGCAGTCTCTCTCTTGCAACTACATGGCTGCCCATTCAGTTTGGTGCCTGCTCCTGTGTGTTAGTTTCTGCCTGCTATGCTGGGGAGTGGCTGGTCTATTTTTCTGCTGTATTTGCTTGGATGCTCTATGTAGTAGATGGGCAGTTGGAGAAAAGGCTAAAAATGAATAGCCGTTATCCATTGCCACTGTCACAACATGTTGCCCAGGACTCCAGAGAGTTTTGCTTCTTAGCCAGTTGATTATGAATTAAACACCTCTGATGTGTGAGAATCTTCTGTATGTGGGGATTCTTATCCTTCTCTGCCATTTACATTCTTCTGATATGCAGTGTACCAGAGGAGAACACTATTGATGATGGTTCCTTTGAGGTTAGTAGCAGAAGGAATGACAGCTGAGAGATTTAGCAAAGCTAGCAGGGTTGTAGAGAAGTTGAAAGCTTAGACTGGTTCATGATGGGCCTTTGCTCAGTCATCATTTATGAATGCCAGTGTGGCCACGAGTGCCACAGGTGGGCCCTTGAATATCTGTTGCTCTCTTTGAAGTCTTTGCTGATTCTCCCAAGTTGGGCCTTTGCTCCTTAGGATTTCAGTGACACATTTTCCCCCACTTATCTCCCTCAGCTTTGTAGTGAGTAGTTAATTGTCTAAATGTTTCATCTACTTTGTAAGTTTCTTTACAAGAGGAACCTGGGGCCAGGCGTGGTGGCTCACACCTGTAATCCCAGCACTTCGGGAGGCTGAGGCGGGTGGATCACTTGAGGTCAGGAGTGTGAGACCAGCCTGGACAACATGGTGAAACCCTGTCTCTACTAAAAATACAAAAATTAGACGGATATGGTGGCGGGCACCTGTAATCCCAGCTACTTGGGTGGCTGAGACCTGAGAATCACTTGAACCCGGGAGGCAGAAGTTGCAGTGAGTGAAGATCATACCACAGAGATTGCGCCACTGCACTGAGATTGAGTGACAGAGCAAGACTCCATCTCAAAAAAAGAAAAAAAAAAGAGGAACCTGGTCTTGCTCATTTTATTATTCTCATAAACCATGGATATGTCCCACTTGCATCAGTTACTTGGTAAATCTTATGGAATTAAACTGGACAAAACTGGCTGTGTCTATGGAAATCCTGCAGCTAGTATCCATCTTTCTAGACCTACTGTACTCTGCCAAGAGGGCATCCCTTAGAGAAGCAGAGCACCATCATCAGAAATAGCATGCAAAAGCACACCAGCTTATTGTTGGCCTTTTTAAAAACTTTTCATGAAGCTTTTTGTGTGTGTGTGTTTGTAACAAAGCTTTTTAAAAAAAATGAGGGCAGGTGGACTCACCATTGGCCTTAGCCACGACTAACAAGTAGCCAGGAAACAGGCACCTCCTACTTTCCAATTTCTACCAAGCTCTAGGTAGAAAAGCTCTAGCTTTTTTTAAAAAAAAAGCTTTGTTGAAATATCATTTACATACCATACAACTCACCAATGTGACATGTGCATGTCAGTGGTTTTCAGCATGTTTGCAGAGTTGTGCAATCATCACCACAACCAATTTTAGAAAATGTATCATCCCAAAAAGAAACTCAGTGCCTATTCCCTCCAGCCTCCTCGTCCTAGGCAGCCATTAATCTATTTTTTGTCTTGATAGATTTGCTGGTTCTGGACATATTTTGTCTGGCTTCTTTCACTTAGCATAATATTTTCAAGGTTTATCCATGTGGCATGTGGCCAGCCTAGAGCTTGGTAGAAATTGGAAAGCAGGTGGTGCTTGTTTCCTGGGTAGTTGTTAGTTGTGGCTAAGGCTAATGGTGAGTCCACATGCCCTCATTAAGGACAACCAGATGTATTTAGTGGAAATTCCGTAGATGTGTTCTAAACTTGCTCCTGTGAGTAATTATAAAAATTAAGGTAATATCAATGAGCACCTAACTTAGTTCCTGGACAAAGTCCCTTTGTCCCACTTGAACTCTTTTGATTTAGTAAAATTTGCCAAAATGAAAGAACAGATAGTTTGTAATTGGTACTTTGAGTTTAATGTACTGATTCTCCCTTTTGTTTTTGCTCTCCCCAAGGCTATGCCTTTCTGCTGTTCCAGGAGGAAAGCTCAGTACAAGCTTTGATAGATGCCTGCCTGGAAGAAGATGGGAAACTGTACCTGTGTGTGTCAAGCCCCACCATCAAGGATAAGCCAGTAAGTAATACATGGCCAGCTGTTGCTTTTCCAGAGCACATATGCGATTGGAATAGCTGACCTCCTCCTTCTGATAATGGAAATGCTGGTAACTAGGATCCTCTCACCCAGCTTGGCCTCGCTATGCAGTAGAGTTGGACTTTTGTTGGTGATGGGAAACTAATAATAAATTACTCAGTATTTCATTTTATACCTTTGGGACTGTGTGTAAACAAGTATGTCCTTGTCTTTCACTTACAGCTATTTTAAGCTAATTCCTATTCAGAAATTCTGAATTGAGGTAAATAATGCTCTTAGCAGTTTTGGCAGCTGGTTTCCGTCATTATTTCAGATCAAGGACAGGAGTTATTTATTTTTGAAAAAGGTCATAATTGTTATGTTTGTGTGCTTCTGAATGCAAGGCATTGTGCTGGGTGGTACCCACAGCTAGTTAAATAGAGCCTTCTGGGTCAGGAGCTGACACTCTAAAATGGATAGTTTCAACAGAGCAGGGGAGGGGAAGGGCAGATAACGTGGAGCTAAAACCATAATACAGAGTTTGTGGTTTACAGTTTGTGGCTTCTGAGCCAGAGTATGAGTGAGTAAGTCACTGGATAAGGGAGGAAGATTGTGTCCTTTCTCTGGCAGAAGAGATATCAGTGAAGAAGAGGCAAGATCATGTTCAGAGCAGAATAAAAGAACTTTGTTTATTTGACAGAAGTAGGGATCTCTGGGAAGTTGGCAGGGGTGGGGTGAGGTGAGTTTGTGTGTCAAAGCTTGGTGCTAGGTGTGGCAAATAGAGTAAAAATATGACACAGGGTGTGCAAGAGACCAGAGCTATATATACCAGAGGGCCTGCAGCGGCCTCTGTATGACTAGCACCAGAAGTGTGGGGCCTACTTAGCAGCTAGGTTTATTTTCAGAAATGTGCATGGGGAAATAGTTGGATTGAATATAGAAGTTTGAGTGTTGACTCTTGCATTTAAATATCTGCTTGGCTTTGAATAAATCACCTAATCCTTGCTGAACTGTGGTTTCCTCACCTGGAAAATGGGAAGAAGAATCATTCTTCCCTGGGTTGTTGAGAGGCTCAGATAAGAGGAAAATGAATATGAAAGCATTTGGTAGAGGCCAGATACTTGTACAAATTTAACTGGCTAATGTTATCAGTCCTACATAGGATTCAGTAGAGCAAGATTAGAACTCACTTACATGGCAATATCTGTTGAGAAGGATGATGACATCTTGAACAGGGTTTGTGACTGTTTGCTAAAAAATGATATTGGGACTTGGCCACGTATAAAGGGGAGAGTGCCGCACTTAAAGCAGAAGAGAGAACTACTAAAGAATGGGGATATTGAGAATATTCATTGGAGAGTAAGCAAATAATGTGGAAAAAGAGGCAAGGATTTTAGCCAGTATAAAAGTGTGACTGTAATTTTCAAATCTGGGGGGCTGTTGCCAAATTTTGGAGTGGTATGAGTTTAGAAAGTCTGTACCCAAAGAAGAAACAAGCCCCTCTCCACACACACAAAAAAATCTGTACCCGGCCAGGTGCGGTGGCTCATGCCTGTAATCCCAGCACTTTGGGAGGCCGAGGTGGGCGGATCATGAGGTCAGGAGATCGAGACCATCCTGGCTAACACGGTGAAACCCCGTCTCTACTAAAAATACAAAAAAAAAATAGCTGGGGGTGGTGGCACGTGCCTGTAATCCCAGCTACTTGGGAGGCTGAGGCAGTAGAATTGCTTGAACCTGGGAGGCGGAGGTTACAGTGAGCCGAGATCGCGTCATTGCACTCCAACGTGGGCGACAGAGCAAGACTCCGTCTCAAAAAAAAAATCTGTACCCAGTTTGGTAGGGTCAGATATCTGAGAGGCAAATTCTCAACCTCCAGAGAGCCTCTGCTACTGGCATGTCCGTTGGAGAGAAGCTGGAGTGAGCTAGGAAGGTTTAAGGTCACACACTATAGGAGAGGATTAGAAATATATTTTTCTACATAAAAAGGCAGAAGGATAGTAGTACACATTGAGGTAGTTATGTCCATATAGGTTAAGAAGCTAGAGATGAGCACACAGAGTTTATATACCTTGGAAGAATCATGTCACTGGCTCTGTAGGGAAGGAGAATAACATGCCTTGTGGGACAAGCCTTCAGCTGGACAGGATGTCTCTTGAGCAGGGAGTGAGCAGCAGTAGGGGTCAGATGGAGGTGTTGTGGTGGCAATGCCATTACTCTTGAGTGTTTTCACTCGAAACACATGTATTACCCTTGGATTGAAGGACTTTTGAAAATAATTAGTAGAATTATCTGTTTTGGAAATGTTTATGGGGAAACTAACTTTCACTGTTTGTGTTTTGGCAAATTCTGCCTTATTACAGTTTTCATTTTCTGAGCTCAAGTGCAGCAGTTTTATTGTAGCTTGGTGAATTCTGAATGGTGACTGCCAATCACACGTTTCTTTGACCCAGGCATACTCAGAATTTCCAGCATAAACAGTTTGAGTAAAACTTAGGATAGGAAACTTAAAAGTCCCCAAACACCTGCAATTTTAATGAACTGCATCCTACTTTGGGTTCCACTCTTTTGGCTTTATTTTTGAAACCTTCTCTTTCTTGGTTTTAGCTCCACATCTGCCACCCCCCCGCCTCATTTATTCATACATCCCTACCTAGGTTCTGGTACATTCCACCTCATTGTGCATGCTCCCATGAGGGGGAAAAAAGCAAGAACTGTGTTGAACCTTTGGAAGTAAATGAGGACCTTGGCAGTAGCTCAAGGCAAAGTCACACTTTGGAGCTCATTCACCGAACTTTTTTTGAGCCATGGCGCTTCCTTGCTCCCAGCTTTTGGCTTGGCTAGCCTTTATTTTCTACCTTTCAGGATCCCAGTGCCCTCTTTCTGTTGTTTCGTTCTTTCTGACTCTCCCTGGATTTCTTCTTGGAAATACACCATGTTCCAAAATGACCTTGCAGATTTTCTACCCTTTGTCTGTCTTTCTCATCGTTTCCCCTCAAACTCCTATTCCCTTTGAAACAGATTAATCAGATTGTTTTTCTAATGCAGAACCTGGTAGTGAGGTCTCCTTTCACCTATCTTGTCCAGGATCATGCTTGTTTTTTTAACTCAAATGAATTCCAAATTTGTGGATTTCAGGTTGTATTAGGGAGATATTTTTGGTCAGTGACTACCTTTTGTTAAATGACTCAACTCTGACTGTTCTGTGCGTAGTTCTGGTCCTGAAAGATTGCAGAAGGAACTGTATTTATGGCCTGATTAATTGACTTCCTCAGTTCCAAAGAATGGGAAGACAAATTGGTGAGAGCAAGAAGAGATATTGAGGAGCTTCTAGATCTATGGGTTTTTTTCCTTCTCCAGTAAGAGGAGTTTCATAGCTCAGGTATCCCAGGCATATGAGAAGGCAGCTGTGTCCATGTGCAACTGTGTCCAAGGATTCCAGTGAAGCAGGCAGACATTGTTCACAGTGGTCCCTCTCATCAGAGTGACTCTACTTTTTGAATATATTAATAGATTGAACCTGAAGGTTCAAGACAGCAAGCTAATAGAGCAAGGGACCTAGAAGGTCTATCAGAGATAGAGGCTGAAAAAGAGTAATCCTGAAAAGAAGGTGGGGAAGGAGCTATTTAAGATTCTAGAACATGTTGGCCGGAGATGTGGGATAGCAAACACCTTAAAAGGAGTATCAGAGGAGTTTCCTGCTTCCTGTTCCTTATGATTTATTTATAGCGCGATCACAGTTTCTCTATATCCTGAAACACGACAGAATGATTTTGCTATAAATTTAATAACCATATTACCAAACTAAAATATGCTTATGTGGGGATCCATTCTTTATGTTATTGCTCAGGTAATGTGGTCATCCACTTAAAACTTGAAAAACAAAAATTGAAAAGAATAAGGAATAAGGATAAGGATAAGGATAAGAATAAGAATAAGGAATCTGGAAATAAAGGCCAATTTAATTCTTCAGTTTTTAATTCTGTCCCATCTGTCTATCATTCTGGTGTTTCCTCCCCCTGTTTATATATCAGTGGGATTTGTAGCACTTTTCAGTCATTCCTCTTTAGTTACAAAAGCAGTCCAGATCCTTTTCCCAGCTATTTAAGACCTTCCCAGTCTGGCTTCAATTTTTTTTCCAACTTTGCCTTTTTCTGCTTTTCTTCTGAACCCCATATTTTAACCAAACGGAAATATCTGTGCTCTCATCTCGATTTCTTTCTCTCTTTCTCTTTCTTTCCTTCCCTTTCTTTCTTTCTCCTTCCTTCCTTCCTTCCTTTCTTTCTTTCTCCTTCCTTCCTTCCTTCCTTTCTTTCTTTCTTTCTTTCTTTCTTTCTTTCTTTCTTTCTTTCTTTCTTTCTTTCTTTCTTTCTTTCTTTCTTTCTTTTCTTTCTTTCTTTCTTTTTCTTTCTTTCTCCTTCCTTCCTTCCTTCCTTCCTTCCTTCCTTCCTTCCTTCCTTCCTTCCTTCCTTCCTTCCTTCCTTCCTTCCTTCCTCTCTCTCTCTCTCTCTCTCTCTCTTTCTTTTTCTTTTTCTTTTTGAGACAGAGTCTTGCTCTGTTGCCTAGGCTGGAGTGCAGTGGTGCAGTCTCAGCATGCTGCAGCCTCCACCTTCTGGGTTCAAGTGATTCACCTGCCTCAGGTAGCTGGGATTACAGGCATATGTCACCACACCCAGCTAATTTTTATACTTTTAGTAGAGACGGAGTTTCACCATGTTGGCCAGGCTGGTCTCGAACTCCTCATCTCAGGTGATCTACCCACCTTGGACTCCCAAAGTGCTAGGATTACAGGCGTGTGCCACTGTGCCCGGCCTCCCATCTCAATTTCTAATTCCTACCCTTATTTCAAGACTCCTCACAAATGCCATCTCTTTCATGAATCCTTCCCTGATCACCACATCATGTATGGTGAATGTTACCTATTATTGTAGCTATCTCCAGCCCCATCTAGAACCATCTTTTTAAAATGGTGTGCCTTCCTTCAGATCGTGTTTGAGTACCTG